GAGAGAGAGAGAGAGAGAGAGAGGGAGAGAGAGAGCGAGAGAGAGAGAGAGAGAGAGAGAGAGAGAGAGAGAGAGAGAGAGAGAGAGAGAGAGAGAGGAAGCGCGTGAGAGAAAAGGAATAAAATTAAATCATGCCAGCGTGTTTGATATAGCGGCTACGCCTACATGATACGCATACATAATATCGAGAGAGAGAGAGAGAGAGAGAGAGAGAGAGAGAGAGAGAGAGAGAGAGAGAGAGAGAGAGAGAGAGAGAGAGGAAGAACGAACGCTCGAGGGATGAGATCGCTGCTTTATTCGTAATAGTATCAACGAGATGTGACATGATGCAATCCAATATCTATAATGAAAAATATTGCTTACTGGCTTTGGCCTGCACTCCCGCATGAAAGACTTCAAGTCTCCACCATTCAGCAGCTCAAGGATGATGAATCTCGGATGCTTTTCGAAGCAGACGCCAATAAATCGTACAATGTTGGGGTGGTTGAACTTACTGCAATGCAAACCAAACACGTGTTCTCAAGAAAGTGGGGTAGAATCAGCACTATTTACACAAATCGAGTAGCCCAAATAGAATAATATGACGGATAACGTAATGACTAACGCGCATGAAATAGTGAGCCAAGAGATGACAGTGTACGCTCATCAAGGTATGTCTGAACAGTTGCGAATTGTGATTAACCTAATCGTGTATCGTTGAGTGCCTAAAACACGTAATTGAATCACATTCATCAGCGAACGATGTTCATTCTACCAGAATCCACCATCCTACAAATTAACTGGGACTTGTATTGACTCTGCAGACGTGCATCTGTGACTCACTCACCACATGATCAGTGCCTCCATCAAAAAGTCCATCTCAGCTTGATCAGTGGAAAGCTCCGGCAACGTCTGAAATGCAAGGGAAGTTATTTTCTATCACGCAGAGTAATTTGTTGTCAGCTGCAGATGGAAGACATACAGTAGTAAACCTAATGAGCATCGTCCTAATAATTAATTAACTCACTATATCTAACCTCACTTACCTTTACAGCAACAGGAAGGTCGGGAGGCTCTCCAGGTACGTGTAAAAGCAAGCCTTGATACACCTCTCCAAAGGCACCTTGTCCCAGGGCTCTGCAAGGCAATGGAGTGCTAATCATTGTGTGCGAGAGCAGCTGTGTTATTTGAATCCACTCTGCATGGCAAAGGATTCGCGCTCAATTAAAACTACTTAGATGTGACAGCTAGAGCAGATTTGACTTTTAAGTGATCACAGATACAGGTAGTTCGTTTTCTAACGTGCGTAGAATTACAATCCAATTGCAATAATTTTGATTTGTTTCTGGTATTACGATCGTTGGGCGTACTTGACGAGGGTAAGGTTTTCTCGGGGAATCTCGGTGAGATCCTGCAGGGTGCAGACACCGCCTCCGAACTCGTAGTTAGGGTTGTACTCGGTCAGCATGCCGGCTCCCTGACGCAGGCGGTTCAGCTGGAACTCTGGATTGTTCATCATCTCCTGACGCACTTTCTTCCTTAGTTGCTTCTGCTTGTGTCTGTACACTATGCCAAAAAATGAACGCATACACAGTCATACATGACGCCAGTGTAAACAAATGATTAGCATTAAAGATAAATATAACCGAAAATAACGAGTAATGATTATCTTCTGGTATGCCTCATATCTCAGCTTCTCAGCTATGCTGGAAGTACGTAAACAAATGTGGCACCAGGAGGGAGTCAAATGTGTATGCACTATGCGCGTATTTATTTGTGCTGCACGTTCACAGGTAATACATGGCATGTTTTAAGTTATCAATTGCACTTAATGAGTGAAACAAAGAGATGCAGATTTTCTTCCCTGCTCCTTGTTATAGCCAAGTATATGCACCGGTATTGTGCATCGCTACTCTGTACCACGGGACCCCGCGCGTCACGTCAGTTGCCACCATAACGAAGACAGGCAAAATGCAGTCGTGACTGTCATGTCAGGTCCTACTATATTCGTGTAAAATTTCCTCTACGAAATGGAAAACTGCAGTCGTTGCATCGTCATCATGTCGCGCATTAATCTGTTGACATCTTGACAGCTTGAGTCCATTGTTACACGCGTTATACAGGGGATATCTACATGTTGTTTTTAATGTTCATAAAGAATTCATTTAAAGTTTACGTAGAATATATTTTAAGTTCCTACTCGAGGCTGGAGGCTAGTGTGGAATAATATGCAGCCTCACAATGTGAACATGCCGTGATATTCCGCCGACGATTGGAGTACTTCCATAATCGTTATGACATCACGTGGCCTCACGCTGTGACACAAACATATCATGGTATCTGCCCCTCACACGCTACATGAACATACAGCAACATCCTCCTCCCATGCTGGGACAACAACATACCATGACAGCAACCCCCTACGCTGGGACACGAACATACAATGACATCACCCTCCCCCCTGCTAGGACACGAACATACAATGACATAACCCTCCCCCATGCTAGGACATAAACATACAATAATATATCTGCTCCTACGCTAGGACATAAACATACAATGATATATCTGCTCCTACGCTAGGACATGAACATTTAATGATATATCTGCTCCTACGCTAGGACATGAACATATAATGATATATCTGCTCCTACGCTAGGACATGAACGTA